GCGGGGGAGGCCCGGGGGCCCCTTGGCCCAGGAGCACCTGGGTCGCCTGAGGGCCACGGGGGGCTTTCACTGGCGGAGCAGAAGGACCGACATTCTGGACAGGCTGGCTAGGGAGCCGCTCAGGCCCGGTCGGGTTCGTCCCTTGATGTCCTCCAAGCCCCCTTCTTTGCTGGAGCTCAGGGCCTGATCCCCACAGCACGCCTGGCTAGGTGGGACCCTCTCGGGGCCCGGCTTTGCCCTGCTGGCAAAGCTGGGTCGTCCATGGCCGTGTGAGCCCAGTTAACCCAGGTTGGCCAGCTGGGTAGATTCCCCCAGAAGGTGTGACTGCTGCTCTTTCTCTCTCTCTCCCTCTCCCTCCCCCTCTCTCCCTCTCCCTCCCTCTTTCTCTCTCGGGGGCTCAGTTCCAGCAGACGTCGGAGCACGCCCTCTTCTCCTGCTCGGTGGTCGATGTCTTCACCCAGCTCAACCAGAGCTTTGAGATCATCAAGAAGCTGGAATGCCCCGACCCGGCCATTGTCGCTCGCTACATGCGGCGCTTTTCCAAGGTACCCTCCCTCCCCCTCCCTGGCCCCCAGAGGCCGTCCCCCAAGGGAGCCAGGGAGGTTGGACTGAGGTCTCTGCTCCTCTCGTAGACCATCGGGAAGGTGCTGGTGCAGTACGCCGACATTGTCTCCAAGGACTTCCAGAGCTTCTGCTCCAAGGAGAAGGTGGTAAGTCCCCGGCCTGACTGGGCCCGGCACCCACCCGTCCGGGGAAGGGGCTACCTCTTGGCCAGGATGCGGGCAACGTGCCTTGGCACCAGCTGCCTGGCAAGCAGCGGCCAGAGCTGGCAGGGAGGTGGCCAGGGCGAAGCCGTCAGCCTTTCTCCACCTGGAGGACCCAAGAGAGCCGTGGGGGTCCCGGGGCCACAGCAGCTTCCCTAGGAGGAAGGGCGGGCTGGGGGCTTTCTGGCCAAGGAAGGACGCAGAGGAGGAAGGACCGGACAGGACTGCCCAGAACCGGATGTTCCTCTCCCTCTCCCAAAATGCTGGATCCGGGAATCACCCGTGGAGGGGGATCCTGGGGGGCAAGAAAAGGGTCTCAGCGCTAAGCGGGGCAGCTTAGGGTTGGAGCTCCCCATCGCCAGACGTGCTGGAAGTCCTGGGGAGGAGGCTATCGCCCCGAGGGCCGTGGGGGGCGCCTGGCATGGGGGGGCTCCCAGGGCTCCAGTCCAATCGCCCCAGCTTGGATGAAGAGCCGTCATCCCCGGGGGCCAAGCGGGGAGAAGTGGGTCATTTGGGCCTCTGTTCGTCCAGAGCCCCTCTAGCAGTCGGGCTCCTTGGCCGCTCCAGACGGCCCTGGGGAAGGATGGCGGCTGCTGGCTGCCCGCAGGAGGGAGCCTGGGCTCTGCCGCTCCCTCCTCCTCCTCCTCCGTGGACTCAATGGGGCGGCCTTCTCCCTCCCTCCCTCCCTCCCTCAGCCCTGCATCCTGATGAACAACATCCAGCAGCTGAGGGTGCAGCTGGAGAAGATGTTTGAGGCCATGGGGGCCAAAGAGGTGAGTCCCAGGCCAGACCGTGGGGAGGGGGGGGGG